TCTTTTGAATTTACCGTTTATCAAGTATTCTCTATGCCTCTTCCAATTTGATCTAATCATTCTCTTAGGACACGGACAGTAGCATTACCCTACCAAAACAGTAAGGAAATAAACCCAGAAACACAGAGTGCACACCACAGCTTTCTCCCATTCAATAAAGTAGGATGGAGATATAGTCTAAATGGAGGAGCACTTGCCTAACATGCTCAAGGTTCTGGGTTAGATACCAAGTACCACAAAAATAAAAAGCCAGAAACTGAAAACAAGATGTTGGATTGATAAATGTTACTACTGCATAAACAAAGGTTTGTTATCAAGATTTCAAAGACAGTAACAGTGTTATCTACAAATCTGCATTGGGTGGTCCAATGCTGTGGTGCTAAGCATTGAGAAATGGCAGAGCTACCAACCGTCTTTGCATTTCTTCCAGCTTGCTAGGTGGCACCAATGGCGAATGTTCAGCATCTTGATTTTCAAAAGCCAAGAGAATATTTGAATGATAGTCAAATCTGTCCATCAGACTCTGAAAGAAATTGACCAGGACAGAAACCAAGTTTATTACTAAATATAATGATTAAAGTCATCTCACCTCAAAAGTTTTAAGCTCCCCCTTCTTCTCTACCCCCCCAACATACACACACTGCCCATAACTAAGGTATCTGAATCTTTCAACATATGTGTATTAAGTTGGAACCACTTACTTAAGAAGCAGACTATATCTATGGTAAAATTATTATCAAACTCTTGTTTTTGGATGTATTCTCTATTCCTTTGGAAGTTCCATTACAATCAATCTCACTGACAGATTCTCTCACAGCATTTGACTAAGGTCTCAATCTCCCTCCAAGTTTACTGTTGCCAGGTGTGGCTGTAATTCTAGCTACTCTAGAGGCTGTGATCTGAAGGATAGAAGTTCTAAGCCAGTCAAGGCAGAAAAGTCCTCAAGACTCCATCTCTAATTAACCACCGAAACACTGGACTGGAGGTATGGCTCAAGTGGCAGAGCATCAGCAATAAGCAAGAAAGCCAAGTGAGAATTTATGTCAACCTAAAAAAACAAAAACAAAATGACCATGTACATAAAAGTATCTCCTAAGCCAGGCACCGGTGGCTCCTGCATATAATCTTACATACTCAGGAGGCAGAGATCTGAAGATCACTGTTCAAGCCAGCCCAAGCAGAAAAGTCCATGAGACTCTTATCTCCAACTAACCACCAGAAGTGGAGCTGTAGCTCAAAGTGGTAGAGCACTAGCCTTGAGCAAAAGCAGTTGGAGATAATGCCCAGGCCCTAAGTTCAAGCCCTATGATCAACCAAAAACAAAACAAAACAAAATCAACTAAGTATCTGCTGGATCTCAGATGTCAGGAAATCCCTCAATTACCACTGCATTGGCTTCTAAGACAAAAATCTTCCACAAGAATAGACCCTAACACAGAGCTGATTTTTCATGTCTCTCTGTCCTTTTCCAACCTTGAATAAAGTGATTCTTTCCTGGGTCAGAGCCTTGGCCTCAGAGTGGCTCCTGGAGGCTGGCAGCTCTTCCTGCACCAGCTCTTCCACCTGCTGGAGCCACTCTTCCGTCTCGCGGAGGTGGGGGGGCAGCGCATTGTTCAGCTCTGCTTTCCATGTATTAACCTGAAAATAAGGGAAGATACCTTTAGTGGCACTTTAACCACTTATTTTTTTCACATTTAATTTTTTTTTTGTTTTTGTTGGACATGGGGCTTTAATTCTGGGCCTGTGGGCTGTCTCTCAACTCTTTAGCTCAAGGCTAAAGAGCCACAGTGCCACTCCCGGCTTTTTCTGTTTAATGTGGTGCTGAGGAATCAAACCCAGGGCCCCATGCATGCAAGGCAAGCACTCTACCACTGAGCCACCTTCCCAGCCCCCACATTTTTTTTTTTAATAATTTCTCTTGGGCTAGGAAGGTGGCTCAGTGGTAGAGTGTGGACCTACCATGCTTGAGGCCCTGGGTTTGATTCCTTGATACTACATAAACAAAGATCAATAAATAAATAAAATTAATTTTAAAAAATAAAACCTTCTTTAAAGAAACCATTTATCTGAAAGTCAAGACTGAAAAACGGTCAAACTTCTTAGTTCTAATTATCACCTTGAGTTGGACACTAGTGGCTCACACCTGTAAGCCCAGTAACTCAGGGGGTTGGATCTGAGGATGGCAATTTGAAGCCAGAAAAGTCCCCATAAGACTCCTATCTCCAATTAACCACTCAAAAACCAGAAGTGGGTGGGTGCTGGTGGCTCATGCCTATAATCCTAGCTATTCAGAAGGCTGAGATCTGAGGATTGCAGTTCAAAGCCAGCCTGGGCAGGAAAGTTCATGAAACTCTTATCTCCACATAACCACCAGAAAACCAGAAGTGGTGCTGTGGCTCAAGTGGTTGAGCGTTAGCCTTGAGCTGAAGAGCTGAGGGACAGCACCCAGGCCCAGAGTTCAAGCCCCTTAACCAACAAAAAAATAAATAAATAAACAGAAGCAGATCTATGGCTCAAAGAAGTTCAAGAGTTCAAGCCCCATGACAAAAATAAATTAATGAATGAATGAATAAATATCACCTTGGGACTTGCTGATTTGGGAATATAGTTTATTCAAAATTATTTTTTTTAAATGTTGGGATAAATCCATAAATTTTATGGGGAAATTAAGAGCATTCCTTTAAGCAGGGATAATCATAATTAAGGACTATAGTTTAAAATGTGTCACATTCTTGTGTTCTTTGACAATGTGACTTGTGATTCTATGCTGCTCATAGATCTGTGGAGTACTTTGTATGGTAACTGGAACCATATATTCACACTAGCTAGCCCCATCTTATCTCCCAACATCTGTCCTTCACCAAACCTTGCCCCAATCCAGGCACACCTCTTCCTTCCTCCCCTCCCCACCTTCTTTTCCCACTCAATGTGTGAGTCACACAAACCTGATGGGCTTTCAAATGAGATTTTCCTTTCTTCAAAGCACCATCAAATCACATCACCATCGTTCACACAATTATTCATTCATTCGTGATCAAACATTTACAAACAACCTACTGGGAAAGAGCTGGGGATAAAATGACAGAAAGTAGCTAGAGGAGAAAGGGTATGTGAGGGTCACCCACCATATAACATCAAGTGACTTACTTACAATGTACCTAAAGATAAACACACAACATATTACCCCAGTGTGCACCATTTAAAACACGTGTGTATGTACATTTAATGTCTATTTTGCAAAAATATCTACAACAAAAAGATAAGACATTCAACAGTTTAAAATGATGGCCTAAGGAGAAATAGGAATGGGTATAAAAGGAAATTGAAACACAATAAAATTAATGAATAAAAAGCAAAGCAAAGCTGAACAGTAGTGGCTCACACCTGAAATCCTAACTACTCAGCAGGCTGAGATCTGAGGACCAAAGTTTAAAGCCAGTTCAGGCAGAAAAGTCCATGAGACTCTCATCTCCAATTAACCAGCAAAAAGCTGGTAATGGAGCTGTGGCTCAAGTGGTAGAGAGCTAGCCTAGAACAAAAAAGCTCAATGATATTGCCCAGGCTCTGAGTTCAAGCCCCAGTACCAGCATAAAAAGAGGAAGAAAAAAACCAGAGGAGAAGGAAGAAAAGGAGGAGAAGAGTCGGGTACCAGTGGCTCTTGCCTATAATCCTAGCTACTCAGAAGGCTGAGATCTGAGGATCACAGTTCAAAGCCAGCCCAGGCAAGGAAAGTCCATGAGACTCTTAGCTGCAATTAACCACCAGAAAACTGAAAGTGGCGCTGTGGCTCAAGTGGTAGAGGGCTTGCCTTGAGCTCCAGAGCTCAGGGACAGTGTCCAGGCTCAGAGTTCCAGCCCCAAATCCAACAAAAAAAGAAGGAAGGAAGGAAGGAAGGAAGGAAGGAAGGAAGGAAGGAAGGAAGGAAGGAAGGAAGGAA